TGCGTGTGTGATTGCTTAGGGTGCTTCACATATGTATAGTTTGTATTAATCTAACTCTCGATCTATCACATAATAAAACCTAACTCTCGATCTATCACAATCCAGGCGACAACTTTTATGAATTGAGCTGCCAAATATATTAGAGAGACTGTCTTTCTCAAGTATTTGTCACTTTCGCTACTGGTGAGCATATTTAATGATTATTTTTCATAATAATTGATTATTTTTCATGTTAATTGAAACTCAATCATCATCATCATGTTCAGCAACTGTATCGTCCATGCCAGGCGATCCTATGCTTTAGCATCTAATCACGACCCGCGTGTCGTTTGACATCATCTACTCATCTCTTGGGAGGACGTCCAGACGATCTGTTGTTAGCACGTGGTAGAAATCATTTTGTCCACGTATTATTATCCACGCGTGCTTAATTTCCCGCCTATCTATCCTACTTTTGGCAATTACGGAGATAAAATCCTTCAGTCCTGTCTTCATTCTGATCTATTTGTTTTCTATGCGGTCACGCAGGGTAAAACGGAGAATTGCTTTTTTCAACGCCTTCTGTGCAACTCGGTATTTCTGTCGAATTTTCGGTGAAGGGCATAGTTAAAGACTTTTGCACTGTTTGAAAACTTTTGCCTTAAGTTATATTCACAATCCACACAAAATCTTTTAGTTTGCTCCAAAGGTTGCCCAGGTTTGGGCTATAATAATAATAATAATAATAATAATAATATTTATTTGATCATAAATTATCGGAGTTACATACAAAGCTTATTAAAAATATATTTATATAGTTGTTATTTAGAATACACCTTGCTTATAGGTAGCATCCATCACCGAACTAGGTTGTAGACCTGAAACATCGGTAAATGGCGCCTCCAACCTCGGACATTAATCAATGTATTACATTACATCTTTGTTATGTTTTATTTAAATATAGCATTTGAGCAACAATAAACTTCTGTGTAACAAACCAATCATTTAAAGCAATATTGAAAATAAAACAAACTAAAATATAGAAAAGGAAAGAAGTCCTCTCTGTGTGTAATGTGAGAAATGCATGTATGAGGGTCGAGAGGGTGTATTTGTAAGTTATATTAAAATTGGTAACATATTAAATTGTGTAGATAAATAAATAAATTAATTAATTAAAATAAGATAAATTTATTTAATGTGGGTTGAGGAGAATGAGGACATTCGCAATGAAAACTAGACTCAGAAATCTGAAACAAAATCCAAGATTATATACTATGACATATCACCCAACAGTTTTAATTACTAATTCAGTATCCTCGTATGTTTGTTCCAACAACCAATTTGAAACTTTAATTTTACAATCAAACCTATTAAGGCTATAAATGTTAAGTATTTTGTTAATTTTGTTATAAATGTACGGACCCAAAAAAAGATAAAATCTTTTCAAAAACTCAGTCTTAGGACTGATAACCCGATCGCAAACATTATAGTGCCTTCTTCGTTTGACTTTTTGAGGGCAATATTCGAGAGTGCTGTGTTGTTTCATTACAATGGAAAGCAAAAAAAGTTGTCGTACTGTTAGAACCTCACAATGTTTGTAAAGCAGAGAGGTTGAGAAGTAGAAGGGTCTAAAAGTGCAAATCTTAAGTAAAGCTCTCTGGGCAATTTCAGCTTTTTTAATTATTGTTTTAGCTGCACCTCCCCACGACGAAATACAATAAACAATCAATGCCTGACAAAGAGCGAAATACACGCGTTTTAAATTAATTTGATCTAGAATACGCCGTAAGGTTTTAAAAACGTGAAATAATTTCCTTATTCTGGAAGTGAGTAGTTCAATATGACTTCTATAATTCAAATTTTCATCTATCACAACACCGAGATATTTTATTTCGTTAACCCTATGAAGCACTCGACATAAGCATTTATGATTTCCATTGCATGTGTGAGCAATCAACTGTAGACTTTTATTAATTTTCGGACTTTGGATTGCAAACGCAATATATTTTGTTTTATCTGCATTTAATGTAAGCACATTCTGTTGAAGCCATTCACAAGTTTTATTAAAACCAGTTTGTGCAAGTTCGTACGTTTCCTCCCATGTCTTTCCTATAAAAATAAGAGCAGTATCATCTGCATATGATATAATTCTTCTTTGTGAAGAATTCAACAGTAAGAGATCATTGATATAGATCAAGAACAGAGTTGGCCCTAACACACTACCTTGTGGCACACCATGAGAAACAGGAATGTCATCACTACAGAATTCACCCACTTTTACAAACTGATGCCTATCTCCCAAATAATCTTTGAACAGTTCCAGCTGCGTTCCTCTGATACCGTATAACTCAAGTTTTTTTATGAGATTGGGAATTGAGACAGTATCAAAGGCTTTTGCCAAATCTAAAAAAACTGTGATACATTTATTACCTTTATCTAGATTGGAGGATATTACCTCGTTAAGAAAATGAACAGCATCATTTGTCGAACGACTGTGTCTAAAGCCAAATTGAAAGTTTGATAGAAGATTGTTTCGTTCAAGGTAATTCAACAACCGGCTATTGATAATTTTTTCCAGAAGCTTGGAGAATGTAGGTAATATTGATATAGGTCTATAATTATTTACACTTAATTTATCCCCAGTCTTATGGATCGGGCAGATTTGTGATCTTTTTAAGAGTGTTGGGAAAACCCCATGATTAATGCACAAATTGAAAACATGGACAAGTGGAGATAATAATATTTTAAGATTACCTTTAAGAATTTTATTTGAAATCGAGTCACATCCCACTGCACATTCAGTTTTCAGGCCAATTATAAGTCTTTCAACCTCCCTCCAATCTGTGTTTTCTAAGACAAATGAATTAGAGTTCCTAAACTCTTGAGTTAGATTATTAGGTACATTTATCACAGTGGTTTTGCGAATTTGTTCTGCCAACTCCTTGCCTACATCAACGAAGTATTTATTTACTTTATTTAATGCTTGCTTCGGACATTCACATAGTGTCAAAAGCTCCGTATTGGATTTTTTTTTCCTTGTTAAATTTGTCACTGTTTTAATAGACTCCCAAAGTTTTTTGTTATTGTTTCCAGCTTTATTTATTAATTCCCTTTCGTAACCGAGTTTAGCCTGTTTTAAGATTTTACAACAAAAATTTCTGTATCTAGTGTAAGTTTTTTTTATAATTATGTTATTTGGATCAGATCTAGATTTCAAATGTAACCTATCTCTGTTCCTGATACATCGAAGAAGCCCAGGTGTTATCCATGGCTTTATTATTCGCCTTCTTCTCGACAGATTTGTGACCTTGGTATTTTTGTCTATTACAGTTTTTATTGAATTAACAAAGTAATTGAGGGCAAAATTAGGATTATCACTACAAAAAATTGGCTCGAAATCAATATTTACCAAGTCACTCTGAACAGCTTCAAAATCAACTTTTTTTGATTTTGAGGTGGTATAATCATATCTCAGCGGGTTCTTAAGACAGAGGATAACGGTTCTGTGATCGGTAATAGAGGTATTTACAACCATGGTGATTGTTGCCAATTTCGATTTTACTAGGACATGATCAATACAGGTTCCGCTTGCAGGTCGTGTGATTAAGTAGTGCATTGGTTGAAATCCATGATATGCGGTCAAATTAAGGTACTGGTCCTGTAATTTTGTAGTATTTTCTGGGACAATATTGATATTAATGTCACCCATTAGAATTATACTTTTAAAACCATTTAACTGTTCAAGAAGTAAGTCCAAACCTGCCAAAAACGGTTCAATATTTTGATATGAAGGTGAACGATAAATGGCTAGAATGGCTGTATCATTTGCTATTTTTATAACAAGGCAGTTACAGTCCTTTAACTTAGGTTCTTCAACTTTTACGTCAATAGATTCTTTGATATAAACTATTACACCATCATTTTGCAAAGAGTTATTCTGCGTATGGTGACTTTCGTAACCACTAATAAATGGGATTTGTGGACTAAAAGATAACCAGCACTCTGTGAGAGCCAAAACATCACAGCGGATATCCAATCGCTCCAATAAAACTTCAAAATCGACAAAGTTGCAATTCACACTTCTAATATTTTGAGTAAGAATAGTTAAGCATTTCTCGTTGCATATAGCTTGTTTGCATTCTTCAGCATCACAATAAAAAGACATTGGACGATGTAACCCATCGAGCTCGGTCACTAGGTCATTCATATTAATCACTGGGAAGGCAATAATATACATTATCCAACCGTATGGCTTCAACTAATACATGACCAAGACTAAAACCTATTATAGGTATAAAATGAATATTCCTAATCCAGTCTATTCTCAATGAAATGGAATTTGCAGAAAAAATAGAAACAAAAAACACAAAATAAAATCTTAATTTGAGTCCCCAAAACATATGTATCACTAATTCATTTCGTTTATCAAACCTGTATTTGTAAATAATACTGCTTTTTAAAACTATGCTTAAAATTAATTGATGGTAATTTGTAAAAAATAGTTCATGCTTAATTGATACATTTAGACATTGGAAATAAAATAATAAACTGTAATATAAAGAATTCAAAGAACTATTTTTGAATATCCGATCATCTATGTTATAAATATATTTGTAACCAACAATGTAGTGTACAATAAAGTAGGAGATATATGTGTAAATATTACATAAATTATAAATTAAGTCCAATATATTATATAACCAATATACTTTATTATATATAATTGAATGATAGAAAGTGTAAAGTGTTATTCTGTATAATAATAAAAATAATATTATGAAGGAATGAACGCTCATTAACTTAAAAACTATTGATTTTGTATAATAACAATGGCCAAAAATATTACATGCATTTAATATTTTGAGATGACATAAAAATTCATAAAAAATCTTTAAATATATTCGAAAAGATAAAATAAGGTTTGTAACAAATACTTTAGGTTGAGTAAAGTAACAACAGTTATTAATTATTTTGATATTGTTAACAATATACACAGACTTCATTTTCTTCACCAATCTCAGTCATTCCAACTTTCGAAGTTTTTCAATATCATATTCAGACATTATTTTAACGTGAGGTAAGTTTTCTTCCTTTCTCAAATAAACAACGCCGTGTGATGTCCAACAAAATTTATAATTGAATTGTTTCTGAAAAAGTCTCGCCAAATGAAAGAGTTTTTGCGTTTTAGAAGTTAAGGTTTCCGAAATATACACTGGTTTGCACGGCCCCTCTAAGGCTAGGTGATTGGTATTTAATTTTTCTCCCGTTTTTTTTGATCTATTGAAGATTTTTGTATTATCAAGAATTTTTTCTTTTAGTAATACAGAAGTTAATTCTATAATTATAGGATCCGTGCCATCTTTTGCTTTCAATCTGTAAATATCATTTATTTTGTCCCAGCCAATATCAACGTTTATGATTTTGCCTACTTTTTCGGCGTAGGAGTAAAGATCTTTTTTATTTTCCCCTGTCTTTTTGTATATATTGCGAATTTCAATGCCACTAGATCGCGATTTTTTTTCTAAAAAATTTATCTTGTCTTCCAATAAGGCGATTTTTTTCTTCTCTTCTTTCTTTTCTTGTTCCAGTTGACAAATTCTATCCAAAAATTCGTCATATTTACCACTCATCAGTTCAACACTCGCTGTTAGATGAGTATTTTGTTCCGTTAACATGTCAATAGTTGATTGCAACTTATTAAAACGCTTTTCTTGGTCTTTAGAAAAGGACATAAACATTTCTTTAATCAAATAGCTTAGGTTTTCAGTATCGTCCACCTCCCCAATTTTCCTTCGTTTTCTTTCATGGATACTTTCAGCCACGGTACTCAGGTCTGGCGCCGAATAATATTGTTGAAGTAGCGAAGAATCGGTAGGTTTAAGCATAACGGAAGATGGGGTGGTGGCTGTGACATCTCTAGTAGCTGCTGGCGATAAGGGCGGAGTGCGTTTGAGCGGCATTTTTTGAAAAGCAGGTACCAGGATCGCAACAGCTAGCAATATGCACACTTAACGAGCAACAAAGCAAGAACGAGTTAGCGAAAGCGTGTGGTCACTCTTTGTCAAAGGAGTGGCTTAACTGCGTACTATATGGGCGGATCAGCGGGTAAGCGTGTAAGCGTGTCAACAGGCTTGTGAACATACAGTGGTCTCTGTCTGATTGTAGGCGTGTCCTGAATGTATGCAATGTCTAAAACAACTTCTTATTAGATATCCTACTCACGCGCAGAGGGTCCTTCACGCGTAACAACAACACAGCAACTCCTCAAAATTTATGCACTCCTAATTTTTGCTTTGTAATTTATTTGTTAATATTAATTTTATTTTGTTTTTTTTTTTTTTTAAATCATTCAACAAAAATTACTCTTAAAATACGTCTGTACTCCACCAGATATCCGAGGGAAGGGATACTATACGTCGGTATATCTTTTACGTTTCATTTATACTTCCCAATACACTCGTATAACCCAGATTCACATAAGAGTCGACAATATCTACAGGCAGAGTATAATATCTTACTTATAGTATGTTGATCAAAATCTTGCGTTTTGTTATGTTCATTTTGAGCTCTTCTTTGTGATGCGATTTTCAGCTAATCTATCATGTCCAGTATTTCCACTACTCTTTCAGAACAGTGCTGACCTTCTATTAAAATACCTTTCTCATCCAAATTTAACCTTTTTTTATATATTTTCTAGAGCCACGGTAAATCATTTTGGAGATATAGTGTCGCCTGGTCGTACACCTCTAGCAAGGTGGAATTTGTCAGTTTTCTTGTGTAGACTAACGCAGACTGTAGCATGCTTTTGTAGATATTTAAGCATGCTTATATAGCGTTCATTGACTCTGAAGTCCGCTAAAGCCTCTTCAATAGCCCATGGCTCTACTGAGTCGAATGCTTTTTCATAGTCCACAACAGTAACAATTGAAAATCAATGTAAAGTTAATTTATAAATTTCCATTGAACCTAACATTTAATCTTCTTAGTTATCTTTATTTCTTTGTTTATTGAATTTCACGGACTTTGTCTATTTTTTCGTTATCATTGATGCCATTCCATTGTTGCATGTGTATCATCACCTATCATTACAAACGTACAAAATAACTATATCACTTACCAAATAAATTGTAAGGGTAACTATATTTGCTTCAATAACAAAACCATAAACTTTTACAATGTTGAAGTTTGTGCTTCAGTGAATCAAGAAGCGAAATTACTATTCATTTAATCTTGTAAATTAAATTATATAATTGTGTAAGCAAAGTATACTCAAATAGTATTTTGTCTTTTTCATTGGACCAGCATTGGTCATTCTTTTTTAAATACAGCATCAAACTGGCTGTTAAACACAGCCCTGCCGTGACATTAAAGGTTCTATCAAATAAATTTCTTATAAATGAGTGAGTCTTTAATAATTTATAATTGTATAACGTGTTTACATATGTCACAGTACATTATTATGAACAAAGTTTCACTTTACACCACATAAAACCACAAATCATATAAGTGATCCATTGAAATTACATTTACGTAAGCCACTCTTAATGAAGTAGTCGAATGGAGGCCTAATGATCAGGCCGCCCGCCCTTTACATTTGCACCTAATGACTGCAATATGTCCCATCGGAAAAGCTATTCGCTCACTTGGAGACGTTTCTGTCAAGTTTAGTGCCATTACTTTTAGTAGTTGAAAGATTTAACAGGCATCATCATGGAGTTTTTGGGCTGTCTTTTGAGACACACTATTCTGTGGTAGAGTTATGGTTGTTTACTTATTGGTTGCTTTTAACAGATAATTAATTTCATTTTTTGTACTTAGATAAAGATTGGGCATTCTATCCCCCTTGTTTGTGTCGTCGTTTCGCTATTTATTATTAATTATATTTATAATGTTGGGCATTCTATTACATCAAGAAGGAGTTGCAGCTTAACGATTACACGAACAAATGGGGGTAGAAAGCTCAATATTATTCCACTTTTGATATTTCTAATTTTTAACAAAGGATCTGGTGTAAAAAATTAAGAAGAATTTTCAGATCTTCAAAAAGATGGTCAATAAATTATACCATATGTTCATTGCACCTTTATTATTATTGCTTCTAACTTAATCAAGCTAAAAATACTATATAGATTACAATGAAATTATCCAGGGATGACAAAGACGAAATTGACGTAGATAATAATATCCTAAAAAGAAAATAATATCCTCAGAAATTATTATTATATTTTTCGATCCATCATCTCGGCGATTGCTTCGTGTTATACCTAGCTGTGATTCATTTTATTGATAACCAAGATTTTTGATCGATGTTTCAAGAATGAAAAAAAAACTTAATTGTTTCAAAAACGGGTGCAGCTACAATTATAGTAAGATTATGATTGAGAAGCATAATCATTTTTGATTAATTTAAAAGTTTTGGGATATCTATTTGATCTTCATTCCCATAATGTTAAGAGTTTTGTACCATAAAATAAAAAAAGCAGTACCGTTATAGGACACTCGGTGGTCTGTCTTCTGTCTCATTTTCTCCATAACTATTGGAACGGTTGCATTATGTTATGAATATACTTATACTCATAAGTGGATGACACCAAGATGACTCGTAAGTCGATGACATCAAAACATGGCGGCCTCTTTTGGGGGTAAATTAGTAAATAAAAGTTTTTAATTTGTATTAGTTCATATATCAAATGGACGGGCTAATTCTGACGATCTTAATAGTTCTTAAATTAATCATGAAGATAAATGATACCCACCCTCAACCAGGACTGGGTCTAGAATATTGAAAAAAAAAATAAGATTGGTGAATCTATAACAAATCAATTTAATATTTACTCCGTACCCGCAGTGCGCTAGCCTTACTTTTGACCGGTGTATTTAATTTAGAAATCTTCATCTTGCTATAATGTCATGATGGCTTGCATGATATTGGATTTTAATGTTTCTGTCCCCAACGTCCCGATTTCAGATAACTGAACCGGAACCGTCTCCAAAGTCCTTGCTAATGCAACACTCAATTTTTTGCTACCTAACGTCATGGCCCCACTAACCATTAAACAAACATACCGCTTGACAAATCGCGGCCATGTCAGCATAGAGGGGGAGGGGCTGATTGATGTTTCGGACCCTTGTCTGTTCCCGACTGTGTTCTTAAGGTATTTCAAGCAAGAAAACGATTCCGAGTTACGGATTTCGTGACTTTACCCGACTGAAGATATAAATGACGTTACACCGTAATGAACTTGCTCAGACAAATGTTTCACGTGAAATGATTTTCTGGTTCCCCACAATAGAAATGTCTTTCTCATTTGATAAACATAAGTAAGAAATCCAATGTCCATTTTAGTGCCTGAAAAACGTTTTAATAATAAATTACTAAAAAACATTTTGTTGCTCAGAAAGAAATGAAGGCGTTTAGATAGATATATAGATAACTCTTTATTGTTAACAATACACTATTTACAGAAGCAAACATAAATGAAACTTATTTAATATGCATAACAATTGGCGGCCTATTCGCTTAAAGCGATTTCTTCCAGGTAACTATTGGATGGAGAAAGAGATGGTCATTATTACGGAGACAGGGGTGGTATAGCTTGGACGGTAAATGAGGAATCAAAAAAGGAAGTGCAATGAGATGGAATTTTATCCAAAATGTTAATTGTTGTTGTTTAAAAATGATTCATTTTATGAGATACAAATTGTTCAATATTTATTTTTTCTTTACTTATCGTTGAGATTAATTGAAGTTTTTGTACGGGAACTTGAAAGAACACTACAAAAGTAGCGCGGAAACGTTAATGTTATGTCATTTACTTTAGTACCGGGAAAATAGGGAACGGTAGTTGGTTAGATGTAGTGTACAAACGAGCCAACGACAAGGGAAGCCCGCAAGCCGAAACAAATCGTCCATTAGTAAACCGAATGGATAAAAACTCTAGCAACGTATATTTCTCTTCCATTTCATCTTGTCGATTCAAAATAATACTTATATATTTTATACCAAGTAAATATTTTAAAATTATTGACGAATGAAAAAGGTAATATTGCAATTTAATTTATTCATTGATTAAATGTTACATATACAAGAAAATTTAAATACATTCTTAATTAATAATATTCATAATGAAATTATTTGTACGATGTTTTATTGCAGCTACGGCTATTAATGAAACTATGCGTTTTAACATAATATGAGTATTTTTTTACAAATACTAAAGATATCGCCACAATAATGTAAAAATCCATTTAATTAGTAATATAAAAATGTAGGATTGAATTCTTATTACGAAAGATGGAGAGTATACCATTTTCGCTGTGTTGGTAGTTTTTCACAGAGTAGTCTTTAACTATAGCTGATAGATCTTAAACGATAATAATATTCGATCGTATAGCTCATATGTTTGCTCATATAGGTAAGCTGTAACAGCTTAACTGGGAATATCACCGTCTGTTATAATTAGGTCGTTTCGTTGTCAATTAATACAATGCAACCAAAGCGACTGTTGTGCTTTCATCAATATTGATGGTTATATTTTGTGTCTCCCGAAGGTGTTGTATGTGTTATTAAATGTGAAGTTACATCGGCACTGCATTATGATATAATTAATAATGGCGTTTGATATATTTACTGGGGAAATATAATAGGTAAACGATTTCTAAATAGAATACTTTCAAAATATTTACTATTTAGCTATGATAGTGAAATGTACACACACCATAGACAGCATGTAAAACTAAATAATAAAAATATATTTTTATAATCTATCCATAGATTAGAATACCGTGTGATTTGTGCAAATCCCTATTTTATATCCCCTAAACAGTGTTTCTTAGATAGCTATTTATTTCTTGTTTGTTCTGTTATTTCATGTGTCGGCATTATTGCGTTGTCTGAAAAATTTAAAATTCTCAAAAATAATAAACATGTCTTTGTTTCGGAAACTTTATTTCTTTCAAC